AGAGCTAAGGGCCCGACAAAAGCCTTATTTGGTAAATAAGGCTTTGCAGAGGCTTTTGATGAAAGTGATCCAGAACCCCCATTGTATATACTACTTAATGGGGAGTAAATGGTTTGACGAATTTACAAAGCAACTACTCAATAAGAAATCCCGAGAAACTGCGATGCCGCAATATTACAGCCATTACTGCAGTACCGTTCTATTAGCATTATTTATCGTCCAGGCACCTTAGTTCTTCATGCTTTGACCGCACTCTTCAGTCGGGGCAACTTCCAGCTTCCGTTATTTGTAATATAAGATTCACAGAGTAAATAGTAGGTTTAATGGCGATTTAAGTTTAGGCTTGGCCGATAGGCAGGCCAGTATCAGAGTGACAGCTACTTTTGGACCGTAACTACAGCAGCGCTCCAAGCGGGCAAGGGGGCGCAACTCCAGGAATATTCCCCACTCACCGCTAACCCCGGCCAGTTTACTGCTGAAAATATACTACCCATCACAAGTTTAGACTCACTTAAAGCACTCACTATATGTTATGTATATATATATATATATATATGGTTACAATGAAGATAAATTTCTCTTCTAACATGGGGGAACCAATTGCAAACCTTATGCAGATGAATTGCATGAGGATCCTGCATTAAATTGCTGAAATGCATGTGGAAATATCGTGTATGTGAACAGCTGTGTTTTGGTGTACAGTTTTGTTAAAAATTAGCCAATTTTCACTGAGTTTCATCATTTACTGAACTCAATATAATTCTATTTTCAACATTTTACATTACTATTCTTCAATTTGTTTTACAATGCATCAGTTCATGTGTAAACAGTACCTTTAAACAGTATGGGATATTTTGCAAAATCTACTTTGAACAGTTGACTAAAGTAAGTGGCTATATTTACTGAGTCTAAACTTTTGATGGGTAGTATGTAATTGTGTGACCTGAAGTGGTCAGAACTCGCCCCTTTCCTTCACCTCCGAGAACAGTCGTCTCTCTACATTCGTTACCACTCGCCCCTTTCCGTATCCAACAAGCACACTCGTCTCCCTACATTCGTCACCACTCGCCCCTTTCCGTATCCATCAAGAACACGCGTCTCCCTATATTTGTCACCACTCTCCCCCTTTCCTTAACCTCCGAGAAGACAGGGGCGGCGGGGTAGCCTGGTGGTTAAAGCGTTGGCTCGTCACGCTGAAGACCCGGGTTCGATTCCCCACATGGGCACAATGTGTTTAGCCCATTTCTGGTGTCCCCCGCCGTGATATTGCTGGAATATTGCTAAAAGCGGCGTAAAACTGAACTCCGTCAGTCCGAGAAGACTCGTCTCCCTACACTAGTCACCACTCGCCCCTTTCCGTATCCACCAAGCACACTCGTCTCCCTACATTCGTTACCACTCACCCCTTTCCGTATCCACCAAGCACACTCGTCTCCCTACATTCGTCACCACTCGCCCCTTTCCTTAACCTCCGAGAAGACTCGTCTCCCTATATTCATCACCACTCGCCCCTTTCCGTATCCAACAAGCACACACGTCTCCCTACATTCGTCACCACTCGCCCCTTTCTGTATCCACCAGTTATGTTGCCTAATTTGAAGAATTTAATCAGGATATGGCCACGAGCAGTGATGGATTCATATACACATGCCCATGTTAGTTTATGTGCGTTATTTACATGACGGATCTTCTGTTTCCAGTTGAACGTTGGCATCTTGCGGACTCACTTTTGAGATTTTACATGCGCTTTCCGACATTTTTAAGTACTCTTAATATGAATAACTGCAAATTTCAAAACAATGTATTTCTATAAAACGAATCAATTCTAATCTTTAGCAGTTTGCTTGCATTTTACATCATTGGGGCATTTTAGTCTGTCGTTTTGGGGGCAATTCATATTTCTTTCAGCGCATATGTTAAATTCCACCAGGGAATGGCAGCATGGTTACATGTGAGCTGAGACAACTAGTTGACATGCACACTTATAATTATGATAGGACTCCCCACAAATTCTTCTTTTTGTTTAACTACTTTCAGACTTCCTTTAGCTGAAATGAAATATATATATAATGCTGCGTTGTAGGTCTTATTTGAGATGTTGCTGTGTATACTTGTTGGATTATAGCGAAACAGAAACCTGGTGGCGAGAGTCAGACGGATTGCCTTTCACAGTAACATTGACGGACTGCCTTTCACAGTAACATTGACTCTCACAGCTGTTTGTTGAGCATCTTGGTATGGGGAGTGTGCTAATAGTACTGATGTAGAAACCTTCTCAAGTTCTCACGTGATCGCTGTACTTAGATTCAGGGGAAGTAACTCTGATCTCTTCTACATTTCTGATATTCTTTGTCATGACTGATGTAACCTTAGATTCAGGGGAAGTAACTCTGATCTCTTCTACATTTCTGATATTCTTTGTCATGACTGATGTAACCTTAGATTCAGGGGAAGTAACTCTGATCTCTTCTACATTTCTGATATTCTTTGTCATGACTGATGTAACCTTAGATTCAGGGGAAGTAACTCTGATCTCTTCTACATTTCTGATATTCTTTGTCATGACTGATGTAACCTTAGATTCAGGGAAAGTAACTCTGATCTCTTCTTCATTTCTGATATTCTTTGTCATGGCTGATGTAAGCTTAGATTCAGGGGAAGTAACTCTGATCTCTTCTACATTTCTGATATTCTTTGTCATGACTGATGTAACCTTAGATTCAGGGGAAGTAACTCTGATCTCTTCTACATTTCTGATATTCTTTGTCATGACTGATGTAACCTTAGATTCAGGGGAAGTAACACTGATCTCTTCTACATTTCTGATATTCTTTGTCATGACTGATGTAACCTTAGATTCAGGGAAGTAACTCTGATCTCTTCTACATTTCTGATATTCTTTGTCATGACTGATGTAACCTTAGATTCAGGGAAGTAACTCTGATCTCTTCTACATTTCTGATATTCTTTGTCATGACTGATGTAACCTTAGATTCAGGGAAGTAACTCTGATCTCTTCTACATTTCTGATATTCTTTGTCATGACTGATGTAACCTTAGATTCAGGGAAGTAACTCTGATCTCTTCTACATTTCTGATATTCTTTGTCATGACTGATGTAACCTTAGATTCAGGGGAAGTAACTCTGATCTCTTCTACATTTCTGATATTCTTTGTCATGACTGATGTAACCTTAGATTCAGGGGAAGTAACTCTGATCTCTTCTACATTTCTGATATTCTTTGTCATGACTAATGTAACCTTAGATTCAGGGGAAGTAACTGATCTCTTCTACATTTCTGATATTCTTTGTCATGACTGATGTGAGCTTAGATTCAGGGGAAGTAACTCTGATCTCTTCTACATTTCTGATATTCTTTGTCATGACTGATGTAACCTTAGATTCAGGGGAAGTAACTCTGATCTCTTCTACATTTCTGATATTCTTTGTCATGACTGATGTAACCTTAGATTCAGGGGAAGTAACTCTGATCTCTTCTACATTTCTGATATTCTTTGTCATGACTGATGTAACCTTAGATTCAGGGGAAGTAACTCTGATCTCTTCTACATTTCTGATATTCTTTGTCATGACTGATGTAACCTTAGATTCAGGGGAAGTAACTCTGATCTCTTCTACATTTCTGATATTCTTTGTCATGACTGATGTGACCTTAGATTCAGGGGAAGTAACTCTGATCTCTTCTACATTTTGATATTCTTTGTCATGACTGATGTAACCTTAGATTCAGGGAAGTAACTCTGATCTCTTCTACATTTCTGATATTCTTCGTCATGACTGATGTGACCTTAGATTCAGGGAAGTAACTCTGATCTCTTCTACATTTCTGATATTCTTTGTCATGACTGATGTGACCTTAGATTCAGGGGAAGTAACTCTGATCTCTTCTACATTTCTGATATTCTTGGTCATGACTGATGTGACCTTAGATTCAGGGAAGTAACTCTGATCTCTTCTACATTTCTGATATTCTTTGTCATGACTGATGTAACCTTAGATTCAGGGAAGTAACTCTGATCTCTTCTACATTTCTGATATTCTTTGTCATGACTGATGTAACCTTAGATTCAGGGAAGTAACTCTGATCTCTTCTACATTTCTGATATTCTTTGTCATGACTGATGTAACCTTAGATTCAGGGAAGTAACTCTGATCTCTTCTACATTTCTGATATTCTTTGTCATGACTGATGTAACCTTAGATTCAGGGAAGTAACTCTGATCTCTTCTTCATTTCTGATATTCTTTGTCATGGCTGATGTAAGCTTAGATTCAGGGGAAGTAACTCTGATCTCTTCTACATTTCTGATATTCTTTGTCATGACTGATGTAACCTTAGATTCAGGGGAAGTAACTCTGATCTCTTCTACATTTCTGATATTCTTTGTCATGACTAATGTAACCTTAGATTCAGGGGAAGTAACTGATCTCTTCTACATTTCTGATATTCTTTGTCATGACTGATGTAAGCTTAGATTCAGGGGAAGTAACTCTGATCTCTTCTTCATTTCTGATATTCTTTGTCATGACTGATGTAACCTTAGATTCAGGGGAAGTAACTCTGATCTCTTCTACATTTCTGATATTCTTTGTCATGACTGATGTGACCTTAGATTCAGGGGAAGTAACTCTGATCTCTTCTACATTTCTGATATTCTTTGTCATGACTGATGTAACCTTAGATTCAGGGAAAGTAACTCTGATCTCTTCTACATTTCTGATATTCCTTGTCATGACTGATGTAACCTTAGATTCAGGGAAAGTAACTCTGATCTCTTCTACATTTCTGATATTCTTTGTCATGACTGATGTAACCTTAGATTCAGGGGAAGTAACTCTGATCTCTTCTACATTTCTGATATTTTTTGTCATGACTGAGGAATCTATGGTGTTGATTTAGATTTTGCATTGTTTTCAAAAGAATTTTCATTGGTGTATAATGACTGTCATAGGCGGGTTGTATTGTAGCAATTACTGACCAGGGTTACCTTTGCTTTGTGCGATTTCAAGTCTGTGCATCCTCTCCGTGGTGGCACTTAGTTCCTGTTTCATGTCTGCAAGTTGTCTTCTCAGATCAGTGACGGCTCCAGACGTGTGCTGCCAGACGTGAGTTTTAACATGATTAAATGAGCGTGAATTAGTAAGAGCTGGTTAGTCAGCATTAACAGCCTGGTACTTGTTCCCGATGATGGGTAAACGGTTGGCATCAATTAGACATACGATCAAATGCTTGTTTGGTTCAGCTGCAACCAATATCTTCTGAAACTGTTGCTTTAAAGTTTAGGTATGTTTGAGAGGTATATGTCAGGTCAAGATCTGGTGTTGTCAAGTGCCCGTCTGTTTGCCGTGTGTACAATTCCCACACTACTCAAAAAGGAATGATGGACTCCATGATCTTGAACATCGCCAGTATGGGAGTCTAACTGCAATGATTTAAATCAAACATGTCAAACTGACTATACCTGTGGTTTACTGGCGCCCCCTTTTTGCCTGTGGCCGCCTTCAGGTTCTGATAGATCTGTAATTTAAAGAAATATATTTACAACGACACATGTTCTAAGTATCGTTTTATCATAATGAAAGTGCAGGAGGACATTAGAGGTATCAGTACTATACGCTAACGCTTTCACAAGAGAACTTGGGGATTAAATGTGATCGCATTAAGTGTATTATCAATAATCAACTTTAGCATCGAGTTCATATAGGAATGGGGCGGTGGGGTAGCTCAATCGTTAAAGTGTTCGCTCGTCACGCCGAAGACCCGGGTTCGATTCCCCACATGGGTACACTGTGTTAAGCCCAGATCTGGTGTTCCCCGCCGTGATATTGCTGGAATATTGCTAAAGGCGGAGTAAAAATAAACTCACTCACTCAAAAAGGAGATGACAAGAAACTGACTGAGTGTTCGGCATGTTGCTTGCGTACTAGGTATACTATTAATCCGTGAAAGTGATAGTACACAACTACCCGGAAGTTGGAATGAAGCAACTGCCATCCCTCAAATCGTAAACGTGATTTCGGCAAACTTTGGCTTTTTATATTGACGCCCGACTAATGCCAAAAAAACTAAACAACAAATTATTGCGCATATTACTTAGTGACGCTCTATGTAAAATACTGTGAAGATTATGGTTCAGAAGGTTTTCTACAAAGATCAAGGTTATTACATCCCTACGGCCTACCATTATCTGATCAAGGTCAATAATGATTAAGCGGCCCTTACCCTTTCTCCGTCTGGCTTCATAACCATTATCTATTACCACAACATCTGTTAGTTATGTCATCACACTGTACATCAACCTCGTTAATTGTATAAACTCAAATACCGGTCATGTATAGATTCCCCTTGTCCACAATGTTGTGTATCACTAGCTTGATAACGGTGTTAGCATCTACACAGAAACGTCGCATCCATTGCAACAAAGAAGTTGTCCACACATAAAACAAATACCGATCCTGTTCCACTTTACCTGTGGTATCCTGAAACTCCTCAACACCAACATCTGTCATTGTGTCTGTTGCTGTAACTGAAACAGTAAGGTCTGCAGCTATAGCTACAGTTTTACTACAGTCATTTATGTAAGAAGTTTACATGAACTGGACACAAATTCTGATATTCTATTGATTGAAGTGAAAAAATGTCGTCTGAGTTCCAACTCTACAAGATTTATTTTTGTGAATGTATTTGATGAGATAAACAAATTGGAATGTCTTTGCCATCTCAGGTACCCCTCACATGTCCACAGTAAATAGACCGTCCACGAGGTACAGCAGGACCCAGCTGGGGGATTTGCCGAAATCACGTTGTTTGAGCACCGCTTTCCGGTAATAACCTTTATCACTTTCACCAGATTAATAATACTGACCTGCGCAGCAACATAAAGGTACTCGGTCGATTTCAACCACCGACAACACTTCGCTTACCGGTCGATCGGTTTATTTTACTCGCCTTTAACAATATTCCATCTTTAATATCACGGCCCTGGGCTGAAGGCCCGGCGTGACAGCAATTACTGGCTGACGGCTACCATTATGAGCTTTCGATGTAAAGCCGATTATTGATAATACTTAAATGCGATCATTCTCTTGTGGCATATGTACTGATACCTCTATCCTCATACACTTTCATTATGATAAAACGCCTGTCGTTAATATTTTCTTTGATCTATCGAGAACACCAGTACGGGCGACAAACACGGTATGGTCGGTTTGTTTATGTTTGATTTAAATCATTGGAACTCCATGCCTGACGTGTTCGATCGTAGTCAGCTCGCGCACAGTAATTGTACACGACGATACATATAAAATACCTAAACGATTTCGAGAAAGATATTGATTAAACGACGATCGTATGTCTGGTGATGCCCGGCCGTTACCATCATCGTTCAGGCTGCAGCTGTTACGAATTCGCGCTCATTTAATCATCAAACTTTCGCGTCTGAACGTCTGTGCGTCACTGATAGAAAACAGCATGAACGAAGAACCAATATGGAAGAAAGACTCTTTCGGGCAATCATCGACTTTGATCGTACCAGTACAACTTCCCAACCATCATGACGGTCGTACCAATGAATTAACGGCTGGCAAATCTAAATCGGCACCGCTGAACTTCACTCGGTCATGACGAGTATCGGCGCCAGATCATTTTCTGAATCTGGATTGCATCGTCGCGAACGAAGAGTATCGAAAACAACGGAAGGATCGGTTACTTTCACAATCTGAGTTACATCGATATCGCGACTGGAATATCGAAATGAAGAATCGGGATTACTCACAATCTGGGTTACATCGTCGTGATTATGAAGATCGGTAAAATCTAGATGCATCGTCATGACAAAGAATATCGAAGGCCAGAAGATCGGGAAGTTCCTGAATCTGAGTTACATCGTCTTGACGAATGTCGAAATGAAGAAGATCGGGACACTTCCCCTGAATCTAAGCTTACATCGGTCATGACGAAGAATATCGAAGTGAAGAGACGATTTTCCTGATCTGGGTACGTTAGTCATAGACGAATATCGAAATGTGAAGAGATCGGGGATTACTTCCCACAATCTGGGTACATCGTCATGATAAGTCGAAATAATGAAGATCGAGTTACTTTCCCTGAATCTAAACATCAATACATGACAAGTATCATCGAAGAAGAAGATCGGGATGCGCTCCTGATCTAAGGTTACATCGGTCATGACGAAAGAATATCGAAATGAATCGGTCTTCATTAATCTGGAACCATCGTCATGACAAAGGAATATCGAAATAACCGAAGATCGGTTACTGAATCTAAGGTCATGACGAAGATCGGGGCCTGAATCTGGGTATCGGTCATGAACGAATATCGAAAGTAACGAAAGATCGATACTGATCTGGGTCGTCGTCATGATATCGAAATGTGAAGGATCGAGTGCTTTCCCCTCTAAAGATCGTGACGAAGATATCGAAATGTTGAAGATCGAAACTTCTAAGTCATCGTCATGACGGTATCGAAAATGTTGAAAGATCAGTACTTCCTGAATCTAGATTATCGATCATGAGCAAAATGTCAAAAATGTGAAGAGTTACTTCCCTGGTCATCGTGAGAATATCGAAATGTGAAAGCGTCGAGTTACTTTCTAAAGGTTCATCGATCGCTGACGAGAATATCGAAATATTGAAGATCGGTCCCCTGAATCTAGACATCGTCATGAACAAAGAATATCGAAATGTGAAGATCGGTTACTTCCCCTGATCTGGAGTTACGTCGGCAAATATCGAGAAATACAATCTGGGTTACATCGGTCATGACCAGGAAATATCGAAATGCAGAAAGATCGGAGTTACTTCTGAATCTTTAATACATCGATCATGTTAAGAATGTCGAAATGTGAAGAGATTTTCCTGAATGGGTTACGTTAGTCATGACGGAATCGAGAGAATTACTCCTGAATCTAAGGTTACATCGATCATGAACAAAGATATCGAAATGTAGAAGATCAGGGTAGATCTAAGGTACATCGATCATGATGAATATCGAAGTAATGAGATGCCCTGTACATCGATCATGACAAAGAATATCGAAAATGAAGTCGGGGGATTTTCCTGAAATCTAAGGTTATTGATCATGACGAAGGCTGGCGAAATGTGGAAAATCGAAGTTACTTTCCCTATCTGGGTTACATCGGTCGTAGACGAAATGGCGAAATATTGAAATACCTGGCGGTCTGTTGAAATGTAAAATCGTCGATCATGACGAAAATTATCGAAATGTAGGCTTTCCCTGAATCTAAAGATTCCCTCGGTCATGAACAGCGTATCGAAATGTGAAATACACGAACTCTGGCTTATCGTACGCTGACAAAAAGATATCGAAATGAAGAAGATCGGAAGTTACTTTCCTGAATCTAAGGTTATCGATCATGTTAAAATAGCGAAATAACAAAGAAGATCGGGGATTACTTCCCACTGGTGGGTTACGTATCGTCATGACGAATGTCGAAATGGCGAAATAAAGGATTTTCCTGAATCTCCCTCGGTCATGACCGAAGAACCGAAATATAATGAAGATCTACGAATCTGGGCCATCGATCATGACGAATATCGAAATGAAGGATCGGGATTTTCACCAGATGATGCGGCAATCACGAAAGGACTCTACGGCCGATAACCTTTCACGCCAGATGCTCAACGAGCGGCTGTGGTCAATGTTCCCTATCGCGTCAACTGTCGTCTGACTCATCGCCAGTTTCTGTTCAAGCGCGATAAACGGTAACTGCGGCGGCGTAAATGAACTACAACGCGGCATTATATATATTTCGTTTCGGCTAGCGCGAAAATGATTGAAACAAAGAAAGAATATCTATCATGGTATAGTGTGCGTAATCCTTCAGTTGTCTTGTATCTTATTCATAACGCCATTCACGAATTAACATATCGTGGCGGTGTAACGTGCGAACAAATAACTGTCGATGGCAAACTCTGACGACTGGAATTAATTGATTTAGACTTTGAAATGCATTGTTTGAAATTTGCATTCATTCGTATTGAGAGCAAAAAGTGATGCGTCAAAGCATCTGAAGTCGCGAGTCATAGATATTGGCGTTCGGCTGAACGAAGATGAATATGGTAACGCGATAATGATCGCGTCTTTGTATCACGATTGAGACTATTTTCGAGTCAGCACGGTGGATACGAAGGGGCGGTGTTTGATAACGGTCGTACCGAACGGATGCCGGAAGGCTATGGAACGGAATTCTTTCTGGAAGGTTGAAACGATAACCGGAACGGTATTGATGCGAAAGGGGTGATGATGACGGTAACCGAAAGAACGGTAAACGGTGAATGCGAAGAGACATTGACGACGAATGGTGAACGTGTTGATTCGATTTTCGTAACACCAACGTATTCCGGCAGCAACGCGGCGGGGACACCGAAATGGGCTAAGCGCATTGACGGCAGCAATGATGACTGGCGTGAACGTATTCTTGAACAGATCTTGAAAGAACGATATTGACAAATATTGAGGCGTTGGCTGTTGAATCTGAAGAAAAGAGGCTAATGGCTGGCTGAAATAATGAAAGGCGACTACGATTATCGAACGCCGTCACTACAATACATACTACCCATCGAAAGTTTGGACGCCGGTAAATAAGCCGCGCTTTGTTCAGAAGCAGGTATCATTACTGTTTCAGTACTGTTGCATGATAATGAAACAGAATTGGCAAATATTGAAAAGATGGCCAGTTCGATGAAATGATGAGCTTTGCTGTTACGCAAACTATTACCAAACACGGCTACGCGATATTTCGCATGCCTTCGGCAATTGTCTGGATCATGCAGATATCTGCGCCAGGCGATAGAAGTATCTTCGTGGCTCTTGTATGCCGCGCGGCTGCGAACCAGTGCTGGCTCGGTCTAAGCTTTGATGGTAAAGCCTCCTTTTCGGCAATGAAGCTGGCATTGATGAGAATATTCGCGGAGTTGCTTTACCGCTGAAGCGCTTCTTCGTTCATTCAGCTGGCTGCTGACGCTATCGCCAACTTCTTGATGAAGCGCCACTAAACGCACTCTGTGAATCTTATATTTACAAATGGCGAGCTGGAGATTTGCTTCGACTGAAAAGTGTGATCAGCAGCGGCAGGTGGCGCAGACGATGAAGCGTTGCTGTGGCTGTGGCTCTTAGCGACATCGCCGGTCTCGAGGATTTCCATTGATGGTTGCTTTGTAGAATAGATCGAACCGAAAATGTTATATGCAATGAGTTTCTGGATGCACTTTTCAAATCAAAAGCGAAAACGCTTGACGCGAAATAAGGCTTTTGTCTTTATTACCATTTCCTGGTTTGGGTGAATGGCGTTCACCGGATGCTTTCGGCAAGCGCGAAACGCTTCGGCTGCCGAAGTAAAAGACTTTGATTAAGGTATGCTGTGCCTGCCAAAAGGCGGAACGGTAATGAACATAACACGGGTGGCACCGCCGCGCGATACGCGATCGGCTAATTTCGCGCACGTACATCCTCGAAGTGATTACTGAGATTGAAGCTCGTCTGCTTTGTCATATCTATGTTGGTACGACTG